ATTAATTCTGCAGTATTTTTATTACGAAAAAAATCAAGAGGCCAACTGTGTTTACTGACACATACATATATAGTTGTTTTGGGGGGTTTTTTTTGTTACAATAAAAAAGCACTGGACTCAGAGGAAAACAAGCCCTAAAAGGCCCTTTTCCAACCAGGTGCCTCACATGCATGTTTGCAGGTTACATGAGATTCCCTGATAAATCCCACCATGAAGATGACTTTGTTCTATGATCCCTGATAATCCGTATCATTTGTCAAAGGTGGTTGCCACTGTCATGGAGGATGTCCTGTGTAAAATCCAAACTGTAGAAGAATTCCCTAGAGGTGGCAAGGTCTTCCAGATGCTCCTGTTGGAAGATGACATTGTGCTGATTGCGTCAAGCTCCAGAACACACAAGGGCCTCCTCACTAAGATCCATGACCATGCAAAAGAGATTAGCAAAACCACAGGTGTTGGAAAAATCAAATGAAAGAGTGCCTATTGTTCAGCTGACATAACACACAGTCGGAGAGACATATCAGTATGTACATCTTAGATGGATACTGGAGAGAGGAAATGAACTGAACCAACAACTGAACAGGAGAAAGAGAGCAGGCCAGACGGCATTTGGTAACCTGCAGAATGCTTTCCCCAATCCCAAGCTGCTCTCTGACAGAGAAACCCATTTTTTTTCCCCCAATACCAACATTCTCCTGATGATGCCATCGTGGCAGCAAATGATGAAATAACCACAATTTTCAAAGAATCAAAATTGCAGGGGAACCAAAGGGCAATGGATAGATGCATGGTAGAGAGGGAAAGGCCTATTATCAATGTATGGTTTGCACAAAAGAAATGGAATAAAGGCTATCATCCAGGAAATGTATGACTAGAAAAATGAGACTAGAAAATGGACAAGTCATGCATGAGAGGAAGGGAAAGTGAGGCTAGCTGCTACACTGGGACCCAGAAAATCTTAAAAGTCCTAGAGGAAGGCCTCCAGCCCAGGAATAGGTCCTCTCTGAAGGCTTTCTGAGAGGCCACAGATAAGAATCACACGATGAGAGCTGTATGGGCTGCACTGTGCCCAGTTAGAAGGAATACTCCCACAACAATGAGTTCATCAATGAGATCGAAGGATCTGCTCAAATAATTCAAAGTTGCCAACAAATGAAAACCAGTGGAGAATATAAGACATAAATAACCCCCAAAAGCAGGTCATACATATAAAACAAGGGATTTCCTCATGTCACTATATTCAGAGTTGCACAATGTACAAATCCCCAGAAGATGATTCCAGGGGCTCAAACAATTTCTCACTAACTCGCACCCAAAAGAAAATGTAAAAACATGTTATTGCATAAGCTACTGCCTTCTAGAATAGTCCATAATTCTATCTGTAGATTATGAGATATGTACCTTAATATTTCAAGGGGGAAAAACATTTATAAAGGGCAAGAAAAATATGGTTCTTTTTTTTTTCAATGACTATTTTCATCTACTGTTTCATTTTAGTTTCCTAACACTTTGAAGGATGGATGTGTTATTATCCATATATTAACCAAAAAAAAAAAAAAGGAAGCAAAGGACAAAGAGATTAAATGATTTGCCCTGGATCAGAAGCTAGATTTGACTCAGAGTTCAGTACAAAATCTCCTATTCATTATTGAACGTTTACAAATCTATTTGCCTTTTGCATTTACATATAAATTTTGTAAACTATTCCGTGCTACCTCCCACACAACTTTACATATAAGAAATATAAAAAAATTTGAAAAAAGTAACCTTTTGCATAATTAGGTTAACATACAAAAACACGTCAGTGTTCTCTAAAATACACACAGATGAATGCCATAATGCAAACTGTGTTTGAGCTTTCATTGATACGATGGCTCTTAGGTTGGCCCATATCTGTAACGTCATTTAAAAAATTACTACAAACTTTCAAGATCTGTATTTATGCTGGCTGACCGCCTTTTCAACCCTAAGAACAGCAGGAAAATGCAATTTTCATTATATTCAACAAGTCCATTTTCAGCCAAATGATTGCCCATTGCTTTCCCCAAACACCTCCCTTTGGAATGTGTTCTTTGGAATGCGGCAGCCTATGAAAATCATAGACTGACAGAATGTCAAAACTGGAAGAAACCCCAGGGGCTGTCCAGTCCAAATCATACCTGAAAGGGATAGTATTCCACGTGGCTTCACTGAAGAAAGGCTCTGCCTGCTCTAAGCATGGTGAGTCATTTCAGTCATATCTGACTCTTCATGACCTCCTTTGGGGTTTTCTTGGCAAAAATACTGGCGTGCTTTACCATTCCCATCTCCAGCTCATTTTACAGATGAAGAAACTGAGGCAACCAAGTGACTTGCTCAGGGTCACAAAGCTAGTAAGTATCTGAGGCTGGACTTGAACTCAGGAAGATGAGTCTTTCTGATTCTTAGCCCAGTGAGCCATATACCATAGGAATTTGTTTTACACAAAGCAGAGATGTGTATAAGGTAGATGGCCAGAATAGAGTGCTCCACTGGTACCCACCTATTCGATGCCAATGGAAGGGAGGCAGGCAGATCCCACGCAGCACATTTAGGGGAAGATATGGACAAGAATCGCCCAGGATGGTCTTCCATCTACATTACTCGATGCAGAATGATGCAATCACTGATCCATTTGAATACTGAGTTCATAAAGAAGAGCATCACATATAACCCAGAATTTCTAACCAAGAATCATAGAGTTTATACAATCTTACAAATTCCCCAAATGCCTCAAACATGATAACATTTTTTGTTTATGTCAAAAAACAAAGTGCACAAAGTGAGAATATAAGAATGTCTTTTCACTTTAAAAAGGTTTAGAAATAAATAAAGTTAGGCAGTCTCTGGACACTTTCTTCATAGGAACTGGTTATAATTTTTTTTTTTGCTTCTTGGTGAGGCAATTGGGGTTAAGTGACTTGCCCAGGGTCACACAGCTAGTAAGTGTCAAGTGTCTGAGGCCAGATTTGAACTCAGGTCCTCCTGACTCCAAGGCCAGAGCTCTATCCACTGCACCACCCAGCTGCCCCTATAATTTTAAAAACACTTTAAAACATTCTATGTGACTAATAATCCAATTTTATACTTAATACTAAAGGCATCTGGACATTACCTCAAAGAGGAAGTGCTTCATTTGCAGTGCGACCCCTACTCTGTCTCTACATGAACATCACATAGCAGTTTCACCTGCTCTCCATCTTCCCTCTACCACTTTCTGGGCAGCTAAAGCTGTCACCCCTCTTTGCCTCGCTATCTTGCTGCTGTACAGTTACTTTGTCCCTTGGATATCCCCACATTCCACCGAGGGCAAGGTTGTTTTAGTCACAGCATCAATGAATTTGTCAAGGTTTCTACGTTGTTAAGCTGGGAGAAAATTCTTGTTCTGTTTAGAAGCAAAATGTGGCCTTTTACTACTTTGGGAGATGGTATCTAGTGCTTCCTTTTTCTATCATTCTTTATCTTGTCAGCCATTACCATTTCATCCAAATCTGATTGCTATTCCCTCGGCACAGTTCTAACAGCACTTCTTCAAGCACTCTGCAAAGGTGTCAGGCACCTATCTGCACATTCACCTTCTGTTCTTCATGGCACATCAGGGCAAAAACACTCAGAAGCAAACCTCTAGGCCTTCGATCTGTGGATCACTTTCTGTGATGCTCCTGTTGTATGATATGCTAGTGTGAGGAGCACAGGGCATGCCGCTCACCTAAGCACTACTCAATCTTGGTCTAATTCCACAAACATCACTCTTACTTGAACCTTGCTTCTTTGGTAGAAAGCTTTTCAATACAGGCATCTTTAAGTGACCAGATCTGGCTTGTCTGCATAGTCCAATCTGTTATATCAAGGTGTCAGTCTTCACCCAGACTTCCACATAAGCTCTCCAAATCAGAGAACTCAGTGCCCAGAGAATGGTCTAGTCAACACAAAGCTGAGCCCCAGAAGAAAAGTGATCCTCAAGTACTAATTTTGGAGAAGGAAAGGTTTCTTCAATGGCCTGCAGGCAGCTAAGCTTGGACGTAATCTCCATTGGAATCAACCACTGATAAATGTTGTATCACCTCCATTTGAAGTTGTTCCCATTTGAGGGACAATCAAATCCATGTGGACGGAGGGGCCAGGCTCTATAAAGCCAGTAAGTTCTCTTTAAAAAGTGGGGCTTAATAGTAGAAAACAAGTGAGAAAGATTCTGTATCGGAGCCAGAGCTATCATACCTCTCATATACACAAAATCTTTGAATATGACTGGGAAAACGGTTTTCTTTTTTAACGTACCAAGGGACCACGTACCTCCAACTCAAGGCATCTTTTTCCAAGACTTGAATGGCAGTAAAAGAGGAGCACTGAAGCAAAATTGGATAGACCGTGTACTTTTTGCATAACACTGTGGCTGTTTTGAACAGATCAGTGTGGAAAAAAAGAAAACCTTCAAGACAATCATTCTGAAAAGTCAAATGGTTAGTCTAACTTCCTCTGCACTTAAATCTTGGCACAGCACACAGCATGCTGGATCTGTGACCTCTAGGAAATCAGACTGCTTGAATCAGAAAGCTCTTAATGGATAATCTTGAAAGGATTATCCACATGGCCTCCCCACTGTTCCATATCGACGGTCCAGGCAGCAGCCGCTGCCGCCTTCTGGGCTCAGTGGCATGCTGGAGCCTCGTATTAGGGATGAGGTCTGCTGTCATCCATGGCTCACTGCAGTGGCTGAGTATTGTGTGTCAATATTAGCTGATCCAATGATGCTTCCCATTATCTGTACAAAGCTCTCCTTCAGAAACGCATCTTACAATGCACCATACAAAAATATCTCTAAAAGTCCACCACATAATAGAAATTTCACTACACATGATTTGGTGGGAGGCAAATGGAAAAAAATCACTTTGACCATACTAAACCCTGGCAGTAAAAAGGGAGAGAGGAGGGATGGAGGGAGAGGGAAAGAGAGAGAGAGGGAGAGAGAGAGGAGAGAGAGAAGGAAGGGGGTGGGGAGGAAAGAGAGATGAACTGAATTAAGTGCCCACTATTCATTAAAATATTTTCACTAAGGAAGTGAAGAAATCAACTCCTGATTTAAAAATCAAGCCATCTACATCAAATCCCTCCCTGGTCACTAAAGGCTCCTTTGAGTGTTCCTTTCCTACTCTTGCTGATGACAGTCTGTTGGAAACCCAAGGAAGGCCGTGTGGTGAGCTGCATTTGTGCTAAGCTCAAACGGGCTCTGACATGCAAGTCTTTGGCGTCTTGTGAGCAGGGTGTGTGTGGGCTGATGAGGCACTGTCAGCAATGTCGAGGCTGCTCTCCATGAAAAGGTGAAGGCCATGCAGCTCCTCCAAAAGGAGATAGTCCAAGTACCAGTTCCATTTCTTTTTCTGCAGGCAGAGAAAAAGCACAGTAACAGATTATTTAAAAAAAAAAAGGTGTGTAAACTTTCTCTTTTCCCTCTTTTATATCTTGGAATGCTGTCATTTTAAAATATTCTGAACCTAACACCAAATAAGATGAACATGTTCATATACTAAGCTGCCAATCAGGAGCTTGCAGAGGGGTGTCCTTCTCCCTCCGGATACAGACTAAACTCCATGTGCTATTTTCCAAGCTGGCTTGCTTTGTTACAGCTGTCTATTCACCTTCCTTCTGTTTTCTTCAGGGAATTTTTAAATGATTCACTGCTCTTTTTCTTTGCCTTCCTCCACTCCCACCCACCTTTCAGTGACCCTATCGCTAGCCTCACCCCCTCCACCACCTCAAGAGATCACAAGAAAAACAAAACCTGCAGAGTCAAGCAAAAGAAATGCCCTTAGTGCCCACATCCCAGAGCGCCTGCCTCATTCTACACCTTGAGCCTCTTGCCCTCCGCCAGGAGGTAGGCAGCCTGCCACATTACTGCTGCTCTTGAAGCAGGGGTCTTTACTGCACCGATTGGCTCTCAACTCTTTTTTTATGATGCCGTTGGTATCGTATAAATTATTCTCCATTTCCTCCCCACTTGGTGCTAAGTATTTTTACCAGTCCTTAAGACATGTATGCATATTAAAATCGAACCACAGATGGGCTGGATTCACAGGAACAAAGTTACTAAGTTAAACTGAACCCAGAAATGCTCGCCAAGCCAACTGGCGCTTGTCACTCCAACAGCATTTATTAAGTGCCCAGCCAAACACAGCACTGTGAGATGCGAGTTAGACATTTTCCCCAAGCACTAGGAACTTAACGGTTACAGCAGCTCATGCAGATGCAGGCATTTGTACATTCACAGGAGATGACTGTAAAGCACCATGACCCGTGCAGTTTTTGTAATCAGGTGTATTACTGTCTAGACACATCTTACACAAACACGTGCAAAGTGAGAGATGGGAGCTGCCAATAGCAAAAGTCAAGCTACTGGATAGCTGCAAAATTTCTACGTGCAAATCCTGTACCCCAAAATGTGGCCACTGACCACAAAAAGCAGGCTTTTCAAAGACCTTTAAACTGACCGATTCAGTGGATAATGTTTACTTTAGTGGACTGATGCTGAAGCATGCCCTTCAATTGTTGGCAGAAAGGTCGGGGGTTAGATGTATGGAAAGAACTGTACGGTGTCACACATAGGTGTAGAGGGGTGTGTGTGTGTGTGTGTTTTACTTAACCGTACTTATAACTCAATTCATTACTACAAGACAATCTTTTCTTGGGTGAAGAAGCAGGGTGGGAGAGGTGAGGCGGAAACATACTAGGAGAATAACTGGGAAGTGATAGAAACATTTAAAAAAATAAACAATAAGATACCTCTGAAAAAAGGTAATGCATTTGTTTAAAATTTGAAATTTCCTTTAGCATTTACCTGAATGGAAGACAAAGAAAGTTCCTTTTCGTTTGGCCATCCCTTAAAGAGGAGAAAATAGTCTGTTAGCTAAATCACAGGAAAATTAATTCAGGCTTCTCCCAATTTTGAATAACTTAAAAATCATCGAAGATCTCAAAGAATAGATAATGAACAAGGTGAAGAGGGAGGGTATCCATGAGGTCTGAAAAAAAAAGCTCTTTTCAGATTCTGGTACAGTATCAGGTGCTTATCCTTAAAAAACTTCCTTTAATACAAAGGAGAATCCAATGTGGCATCAAAATTACAAGATAAATATAAAAGGCATCAATATAGCATGTAAAAAAAGGAAATCGAGCCTTCTTAAGCTACTGTTCCTTCTTGCTGCTGGCAAAGGTTGTACCGTGCACTCTTTCTTGGGTTCCTCTTGGACATTAACTCCAGTTTTCCTAGTTTCACATCCCTTTTAAGTCCTGAAGACAAGCTAAACAAGAGAGACGACGGAGAAAAGAATGGAGGCTACCAGCCTTGCCGTGATTCTGTGAAAGCTGGGCTGGAGCTAAGCATGGACCAGATGAATATTTGGTGACAAAGGTTTGAAGGCAACATTGGGATACAGAAGTCACTGAGCATCCTGTTTGGGTCCAAGCACACATTTCTGTCATCTAACTGAACCCTCACAGCAGCAAGGGAGTCCTTTTACTCCTTCCTGATCGATTTTTCTATTGAACTCTCTAGAACAGCCTTTTCAAACTCCTTCTTTCCTCAAGCCTTCCATGCCACCCTTTCCTGCTCTCCTTCACCCACACTTCACTGAGAAGAGGCCATTCACTAGCAATGGCCACTTTTCTATATCTTCCTCCCCTTAACACCATCCCCTATTTTCTCCTCCTTCAGTCTGATGAAAAGGCAGCATTTGTTGCCAAGGCGAACCCTTTGACCCGCTTGCTTGATCCAGTTACCTCTCCAGGTCTGCTGTCACAATCATCCCCTCTCCTTAATTTGCTATCTTTCCTATCTACTGGTTTATTCCCTGATCCATAAAAAAATGCCTAGATGTCTCTAATCTTTAAAAAACCTTCACTTTTTTTTTATCCCCTCAATCTACTCTCCTCTCTTTTCGAACCAAAGTCTTAGAAAAAAATATCTACACTCTGCCCCCACTTCCTTTCCTTACTCCTCAATCCTTTGCAATTTGGCTTCTATTTGCATCACGACTTGAAACTGCTCTCTCCAAAGTCATCAATAAACCTCCAACTGCCAAATCGAACAGCTGCTTCTCAACTCTCATCCTTCTTGATTGAACACATTCTCTCTCTCTTCCTGTCTCTGTCTCACTCTGTCTCTTCCCCTTTCTCTTTTCCTCTCTGTCTCTGTCTCACTCTATCTCTCTCTTCCTCTCTCTTCTTTTTCCTCTCTCTCTCTCTTCCTCTTTTCCTTTCTTCCTCTCTCTGTCTCACTCTATCTCTCTCTTCCTCTTTCTCTGTGTTTTCCTCTCTCTTTCCTCTCTCTCACTCTATATCTCTTTCCTCTCTCTCTCTCCCTCTGTCTCACTCTCTCTCTTCCTCTTCCTCCCTGTCTGTCTCTCTCTCTTCCTCTTTTCCTCTTCTCTGTCTTTCCCCTCCCTCTTCCTTTTTCTCTGTCTTTTCCTCTCTCTATCTCACTCTCTATCTCTCTCTTCCTCTCTCCCTCTGTCTCACTCTCTCCTCTTCCTCCCTGTCTCTTCCTTTCTCTCTCTGTCTCACTCTCTCTTCCTCTCCTGTCTTTCCTCTCCCTCTCCCTCCCTCTGCCTTACTCTCTCCTCTTTTCCTCTCTCTCTTCTCTCTCTCTGTCTCTGTCTCACTCTCTCTCTTTTCCTCTCTCCTTTCTTCTCTCTTCCTCTCTCTCTCACTCTCTCTCCTCCTCTTTTCCTCTGTCTTTTCCTCTTCCTCTCTCTCTTTTCCTCTTTCCTCTCTTTTTTCTTCTCTCTCTGTCTCACTCTCTCTCTTCTTCCTCTCCTGTCTTTTCCTCTCTCTCTCCCCCTCTGTCTCTGTCTCACTCTATCTCTCTCCCTCTCTCTTTTCCTCTCTCTCTTCCTCTGTCTCCCTCTCTCTCTCCCTGTCTTTTCCTCTCTTTCTCTCTTCTTTTTCCTCTCTGTGTCTCTGTCTCACTCTATCTCTCTCTTCCTCTCTGTCTCACTCTCTCTTCCTCTTTTCCTCTCTGTCTGTCTCACTCTGTCTCTCTCTTCCTCTTTTCCTCTCTGTCTGTCTCACTCTATATCTCTCTCTCCCTCTTCTTCCCTGTCTCTCCCTTTCTCTCTCTTCCTCTTCTTCCCTGTCTCTCCCTTTCTCTCTCTCTCTCTCTCTCTCTCTCTCTCTCTCTCTCTCTCTCTCTCTCTCTCTGTCTTACTCTCTCTCTTCCTCTCCTCTCTTTCCCCTCCCTCTTCCTCTCTCTCTGTCTCACTCTCTCCTCTTTTCCTCTCTTTCCTGTCTTTTCCCCTTTCCTCTCTCCTTGTCTCTGTCTCACTCTCTCTCTCTTCCTCTTTTCCTCTCTCTCTCCCTCTGTCTCTCTCTATCTCTCTCTCCCTCTCTTTTCTTCCCTCTGTCTTTTCCTCTTTCTGTCTCACTCTCTATCCTCCTCTTTTCCTCTCTCTCCTGTCTTTTCCTCTTTCCTCTTTTTTCTTCTCTCTCTCTGTCTCTGTCTCACTCTCTCTTCTTCTTTTCCTCTCTCTCTCCCTCTGTCTCACTCTATCTCTTTCCCCCTCTCTCTTTTCCTCTCTTTCTTCCTCCCTGTCTCACTGTCTTCCTCCCTCTCTCTTCTTTTTCCTCTCTCTCTCTTTGTCTCACTCTGTCTGTCTCACTCTCTCTCTCACTCTCTCTTCCTCTCTCTGTCTCACTCTTTCTTCCTCTTTTCCTCTCTCTCTCTGTCTTTCTCTCTTCCTCTTTTCCTCTCTCTCTCTTTCTCTCTCTTCTCTTTTTCCTCTCTCTCTCTCTCTCTCTCTCTCTCTCTCTCTCTCTCTCTCTTCTCTCTCTTCCTCTTTCTCTCTGTCTTTTCCTCTCTCTTCTTCTCTTTTTCCTCTCTCTCTGTCTCACTCTATCTCTCTCTTCCTCTCCTCTGTCTTTTCCTCTCTCTCTGTCTCACTCTCTCTCTCCCTCTTCCTCTCCCTTTCTCTCTCTCTTTCTCTTCCTCTTTTCCTCTCTCTCTTTCTCTCTCTTCTTTTCTTCTTCCTCTCTCTCTCTCTCTCTCTCTCTCTCACTCTTTCTCTTCCCCTTTCTGTCTTTTCCTCTCTCTGTGTCTCTGTCTCACTCTATCTCTCTCTTCCTCTCCTCTGTCTTTTCCTCTCTCTCTCTCTCCCTCTTCTTCTCCCTTTCTCTCTCTCTTTCTCTTCCTCTTTTCCTCTCTTCCTCTTTCTCTTCTTCCCTCTCTTTCCTCTCTCTCTCTGTCTCTCTCTTCTTCTTTTCGTCTCCGTCTTTTCCTCTCTTCCTCTGTCTCACTCTATCTCCTTCTTCCTCTCTCTTTGTCTGTCTCATTCTATCTCTCTTCCTTTTCCCTCTCCTCTCTCTCTCTCTCCCTCTTCCTCTTCTGTCTTTTCCTTTCTCTCTCTCTTCCTCTCCCTGTCTGTCTCACTCTCTCTCCTCTTTTCCTCGCCGTCTTTTCCTCTCTGTCTCACTCTTCCTCTCTCTCTCTCTTCTTCTCTTCTCTTCTCTTCTCTTCTCTTCTCTTCTCTTCTCTTCTCTCTCTGTCTCTCTCTCTCCCAGGGCCTTAGCTCTCTCCAGATTCTCCTTCTGTCTCTATGACTGCTCCTTTTCAGTCTCCTTTGCTGTATCATTATTTATACCCCACTTCTTAACTCTGGGTGCACCCCAGGGCTCTGTCCTGGGAATGCTCTCTCTTGGTGAACTCATCAGCGCCTGTGGGCACATATTATCTCTCCACAGATGCTTCCCAGACGTAGCTCTAGTCTGTGTCAACATTTCTCGTCCCATTTCCCCAAATGATTCTTCAATATTTCGACTGGATGTCATAGAAGCATTTCAAATTCACCATGCTCAGAAGAGAACTCTCAGATTTTCACAAAAATTGGCTCCATCTCTAAGCTTCCCTGCCTTTATAAAGACTACCAAGCTTCTCGTAGTCATCCAGGTTTACAACTTCAGAACCATCCTTGACTCCCCCCTCTCTCCACACACATAGCCAATCAATGGCCAAGTCTCATGCACTTGAGCAGTACAGAATCTCTCACATCTGTCTCCTTTTCTCTGCTAACATGGCCACTGCTTTGATTCAGGCCCTTCCCATCTCTCACTTAGGGCTATTACAAGAGCCTCCTAATTGGCCACCCTGCTAAGCCACCTCTTCAATCCATTCTCTACATCACTGTCAAAGTTGTTTTCCTAAAGCAAAGCTCTAACCCATGTCAGTCTGCCAAACTCACATTTCAACAGTTCCCAGCTACCACCACAAATACAAGTTCTGGTTTGGCATGTAAAATACTTGCCAACCCACCTTTCCAGCTCCATTAGCCATCACTTGCCTTTCTGCACTTGGCAGTCTAGCCAAAGTGGGCTGCTTTGCTCTTCAATCACACAGAAATCTCCTACCTTGGAGCCTTTGTACCGGCTGTCCCTCCAAGCCTGGGAGGTCCTCCATCCTCACAGCCATCTTGTCTTCAACTTCCTGGTTCCCTGTAGCATGAAGCCTTTCCTGGTCCCGTCCCTGCCCTGCCCTACCCTGCCCTACCCCAGTTGCTAATGCTTCCCATTTCCACCTGAATCATTTTGTATGTATTTGGTATATATTTTGTTTTCTCTCTCACACACAGACACACAGAGTCTTCCTTGATAAACTTTCAGCACCTTAAGGGTAGAGCCTGCTAGCACTCTTGTCGCTGTGTCCCTAGCACAACGTAGGAGGTTATGAAATGGTTGTAGATCATTTAATTGGGGGGCCTGGAGCAGCAAAATATTCAGAAACACAGACCCCTCACAGATCTGAACAACTCCCACTGATGGCTGGGGACGTGACTAGTTTTTGAAGCCTTGAAAAACGAATTAGCCAAGCTTTTAAGTTGTTGCTCCACTAAGTCTTGTACAGAGAAGCTAGTTAACTTGGTACATCTCCAGGGATTATTCAAGGCTGATTAAAAAGTACCGAAATTAAATCAACAAGAGCCCCTATTAATATAGCTACATACCTTTTACACAGCCCCTAGAACTAAGGCATATAGATGCTAAGTTCTTGGTGACTGAAGTTCAAAGGCAGCCCTCTTAGAAGACTGATTAGCATTAAGGCCTAATATTTTCTTAGCCCATATGGAACCACCTGTTAACTACAAAAAGGAGGTTTCCATTTGTTAAAGAACAGTGCCCTCTAGTGCTGGAAAAAGAAACAGTCCTCGATTAAGCATTTTAACCACCCAACACTATTTCCTTAAGCATATTAAAATTCAACATCTGATTTTCTGAAAAAGGTGAACTTTTGATCCTACAGCCAAAAGTCTGTTTGCCTGCACTCAAAATGGTGCTTTCTTCTTGATATATTTTATTTTGACAGACAGTTCCTAAACATTCAAACAATGCTTTCCCCTCTCCCCAAGTATATTCCCAATTACAACTCCTTAAAACCCAGGGGCATGATTGTGGCAGGTACATATTCAGGGGTGGGCAACTTGCGGCCTCAAGGCCCCATGTGGCCTTCTAGGTCCTCAAGTGCGGCCCTTTGACTGAGTCCAAACTTCACAGAACAAACCCCCTTAATAAAAGGATTTGTTCTGTACAACTTGGATTCAGTCAAAGGGCCACAGTTGAGGACCTAGAGGGCCACATGAGGCCTCGAGGCCACAGGTTCCCCACCCCTGGCATACATGTTCCTCTCTACCACTGTAAACAGAAAGGAAAGGCTGCTTCTTTCAGCTTGGCTACAGCTCCTCCAGCACTGACCTGTACCTGCCCTCAAACCTGCTGCTTTTTACTGTGGTGTTTGCTTTACAGTGACTGTTTTCATCACTACATATGCCGTTCTTTGATTTGCATTTCTTCACTCTGTATCATGCAATCCAAGTTTTGCCATATTTATCCGAACTCTTCATGACTGTCAGGCCTTATGATGCAAAAGCATTTCATTCCATTCATTTCCAGAATGTTTGGCCATTCATAAGTTGCTTGGTATATACCATTTATCATCAGTGTTTTGCAAGTACAAACCATAGTCCTGCTATTTTAGACAGTGCCTTACAGGTAATATCTGAAACTGATCTGGAGAGAACCAAAAGGAAAAGCATACAAAATTGGCTAGACTGCCATTGCTCTGGGGAAATCACGGAAGGGCTTCACTATATGAAACTACGTAAGTACTCTCACTCACCTACCCTGACCTCCTTCTAATGGCCCCGGGAGGAAAGCAGAAGAGGGTGAGGCATCACTGGAATAGCAGAAAGAGCACTAGTCTGGTATTTCAGAGAACTGGGTTCTAGACTAACTGGCTGGGTGGGCCTGGAGAAGGCACTTAGGATCACAGGATTTGCAACCAGAGGGGGCTGTAGGGATCATCTAATTTAAACCTCCCATTTTACTGAGGAAGAAAGTGAGGCCCAAAGAGGTCAAAGGACTTGCTTAAAATCACAAAGGAAGGAGCAGAGTCAGGACCCAGAGCAGGTTCTCTGACAGCCAAACCACAGCTCTTTCCTTCATAGCCTGGAAAGAGGCTCTCTACAATCTGGGGCTGCTGTCTCATTTGTTAAGTTAGAGTGCTGGGCTAAATGATCTCTCAGCCTCTTCCAACTCTTAAAAATCCTGCATTTCACAGTGTCAGGCTAATGACCTGACTTGCCCAAGGTCAACCACCAGGTGCAGGGCCATTACTAGAACCCAGGCCCTCTGGTCCCTGGTCTCGGGCTCTTTCCACTCTGCTGTGCTGGCTCTTGAAAACTCCTGCCTTTTTTACATTTAATTCATTGCCTAATTCAATGACAAAGAACTATGGAAAATACCAAACCAAAAAGAATTTAAGCCATAAGGAATCAGACAGCAGAACTAGACCAAGCCAGACTATCCAGCCTAAGATACTTCCTAGCTATGTGACCCTGAGCAAGTCACTTCACCCTGTTTGCCTTAGTTTTCTCATCTGCAAAATGATCTAGAGAAGGAAATGGTTGAAACCACTCCAGCATCCCTGCCCAGAAAACCCCAAGTAGGGTCACGAAGAAGCAGACACGACTGAAAACACCACAACAACAATGTCCTAAAGGAATGCCACTCAACTTCCGGTATTTGGGATCTCATGCATCAAGAGGCTGCTCAAGGAAGCCTGAAACAACTAATGCAGTGGTTATTGTCAAGCAAGACCAGGGAGGGGAAAGCAGAAGAGAAAAGGCATGTGGGGGTGGGGGTGGGGCCAAAGAACCTTTCGACTTTTGGTTTTCAGTTGAAGGTCAATCAGAAATCAAGTTAAAGCATTCCTGAATTTTCAGGATCATATTGATTGCATTAGACAAAACACCCTTGGTATTGTCCTGACAATACTGTGGGAGATCCAAGAGAAATGGAAGACAGAGGGTTGGACCTCTTTGGGCCTTGGTAGCTCAAGACTTAGGATCCAGTGATTTGCCTTGAAGGACAATAGGACCTAACAAGCAACAGCACATCATTGGGAACGATCAAGGAAAACCGTATGGAGGCAGACTTGTGAGAAGGAAATGGGAAGATGAACATAAGAGCGCAATATCCCAGCAGCCACTTCAGTGCCCCTCCAATACAGGTCTCACACAACACCTTTGACAATGACCCCTTTTTCATACAGGGTACCATGGATGAAGCAATAAATTATGAGGTAGTGAGGAGCATGAAAATGTTTTCAAGACATCACAAAGCAAGTAATCCAGGAATCCCTACGTACTTTTACCTGAAGCAGAAAGTTGATGGAATAGGGCAGTAAGGCTGGATGATTAATTAGATTTAAACTTTTCTTATATTCCCGTATTTTAGTCTTTTCTAGGATCTGAGGATCTATGTAGAGATAGTGGTCTTTCTCAAAGGATGTGGATGTCCACAGGCAGTCCACCAAGGCGGTCACATATTCATTAAATTCTTGGTAGGTTTTGTTGAACTTCAGCCTCTCCTAAGGGGGCAGGGAAAAGCTCTCATCAACCAGATTGTGATAATAAGCTTTTGCCTCCCTTCCCACCCGTCTCTTTGTCACCCTCCCCAGCCAGGACACCTACTAAGGTCTTGCTCAGTTACTGACACCATTTGTTATCTGATGGCACCAGTCTACCCTCAGTACCTGGTATATCAGTGCATTTTCCTTGGAGGCAGTCAGGTTGACACGATACCTAACAGGAAAAACAGAAGGCAACAAAATTGGAAAAACCAAATGCTGAGCGGTGACATGGATGAATGGTGAACATTTTTACCTTCCTGCTATGAGATTACTACACTCTTCTGAAGGAATAAACATTAACATAAGGTCAAAGGCAATGTGATGGATGCTACAGAGCCACTCTCTCCTTTGTTATGAGAGGAAAAGTGTGGCCTTCAGTAGAGAAGGGGACACACAAAGGAAAAATGGTGCTGTCAGCTGGGGGCACCGTGACTCCCGGGGAGCTGAATGGGCATGGCCAAAGCTCAGTTTCAAATATCGAGTTATCCAGTGTCTGATTTTTTTAAAAGAAAAATTTAAGCTTAAATGAAGAAACAGAAAGCTACTATAACTAATGCTGACCTCTCCCTTCCCCATATATCCCCAAATATTCCAAACAGTATTATTTGTGGTAGCAAAGAATTGGAAACAAAGCAGATGCCTACTGATTGGGGAACAGCTAAACCAAAGGTGATATATGAGTATTACATGTGGTAATGGAACAGTAGTGTGCCGTCAGGAAAAGAAAAAAACCCAAAGAACTCAGAGCAGCATGGGAATACTTTTAAGTTCTGATGCAGAGTGAAGTAAGTCAGAACCAAGAAAACACCACACACCATGAAGTAATGCAAATGGGAACAAAGTAAGCAAGCAATGCTAGAATTCTAATGAGCGAGCTTGTCTTCAAAGACTTGAGGAAATGTATCCCCCCACCTCTTCTTGGCTGAAGTGAGGAACTGGGGGTTGGAATGGGAGGGGTTTTCTAAACTGCATTTTCCCTTTTTCTTTTTTAATATTTGTTGCAAGGGATGGCTCACTAGGTAGGGCGGGGAGAAACTTCTATTCAGGAATGCAGGGGATGTAAAAATGAAAAATATCAAGAAAAATATGATTAAAAAGACTAACTGAGTACATGAGGACTGCTCAGCTAAAAAGGACCCAACTCGTCAAGTTCTTCTGAGTGCATTTATCCATCCCAAAGCCAGCACTGACACTATAATATGCCAGCGGCAGTAGCAGCAGCATCCCAGACTGGACAACCAGGCCCTAGAGAATGCCCTTCTCTTTCCTGGTTACAAAGACCCACCCACAAAGCAAACAGAAATCGTGAATGGATTATCAACATTAAGATGGAACTGTCCTTACAATTTGGAAAAGGCCACGTACCTGTACATAATATAACAGAGACGGTTGAGGGCGATGCTGTCTGAGGTGAGCAGTGCTGGATAGAAGACCCCACGGGGAAATATCACCACTAATGGAAGGTTATAATTGAGATACATGTCAGACACCTTTAGGGAACAAAGATACCATCAGATATTCCTCTCTAGTTCTCAATCAAGTGTGACAAAAATAGCATCTGCACAAAATAAAATGTTTACTCATTATTCATTACAATATTACAAGCAATTATTCCATTAGATCAGAAGTCAACCATCTTCATAGGCAAAACAGGAAATTATAAACCTTCTCTCTCACCTAGTGACCTAAATTTCTACCTAACTGATCAAGAGCTGGGCTAAGGAGCTGTTCCCAGAAGACTACATAAAATTACCTGAGAGGCGAGTGAGGACAGGTGAGTGAGGGCAATGCTTTTCCATTAACACATAATAACCCACTCTAGCACATGTTAACAGCTAGCCAATCTGATACATTGAAAAGCAAATGAGACACAAGACAAAAATTACTTCTGATGAAGAAAGGGAGTCCAGAAAAGGTTGGAATCATGTCAGTGCTGCCTGGGGGAAGACAAATGCTGTTATGACAGCAAGGTGGGGAGAGATCCCATTGGGTGGGAGGGCTCTAAAGCAAGAACAGCTAAAATGTGGAGAAGTTAGAATTTGCATAAGGAAACAAGGGTCATCACCAAGTATATCCCAGATTTGCCTAGGGCCAATCCTGTAGCGAGAAAAGATTTTCATTTTCTTTTTTATTTCCATGATATTAAGTAATTCTTCAGAAGTATATGCCATCAAAAACTTCAACTGGTTTTAAATTATGTTCATATGAGCCACCACCACGTGGGACAACTGACTGCAGAGAAGCATTTAAATAACAAACCATCAAAATGAGTGGACATCACGAGAAATGATCACGCAGAATGGGATGCTTACCATCTCAAAGAAATCCAAAATAAAGTGAAGTAAGAAACTACTGTTTTTCTCCAATCGCAGAGCAATCGTGGACAGCCATCCCACGTAGTAGATCAGCTCACTCACAGAGTTCAGGGCAATCATGGGAGTGTCCCTACAATCAGAAAGCAAGCAATTCACACACAGGCATTCCCAAAACTCTTTAACTTTCAAGCTGTTCTGTCTAGAATGGGGCAAAAGTCAGTATGGGCATGTTTGCAAACCTTTCCTGTTGGTACTTCAGAGCTTGGTACTCCTATGTAGGGCAAACCTAAGGAGAACACTCCATGAAATACCTGACAATCAGTTCCTAGACCACATTCAGCTTCCAGGCTGGATGGCAAAGAAAGATGGCACCAGGCTCTAGATGGACAGGAGCTCCCATCATCCTGGGTTAGCAATTGTGTGGAATCCTCCTTCTATCTGTGTAGCCCTGAGCCCACAGTTGGTACTTGCTATGTGCTAAGCACTAATTACCAACATTCATCAATTAAGTAGACCATGGAAGTGACAGAGTGGATACAAAATGTCCAAGAAGGTAGCTCTGGACCCCAAACCAGGAAATGTGAGAAAAAGAAAACATAAGTATGTAGTATGATGGCACTAAAACACGGAATGGAATCTGAGAATAGAGAAAGTGATTAAAATAAACCAGTTCAAATATGAACTGTTTAATCCAAAAGAAAAGTTTAAAATCATTGAGAATTTCTTTTCTCTACAACGACAGGCGGTATGCTGTGATAGACAGAGAACTGGTCTCAGAGCCACAGAGGCTTAGGCTTGAGTCTCTCCCATCTTTGATACATACTGCCTATATGACGCTGGACAAGTCACCTAACTTCTCATTACAGTGCCCCCGAGTGATCCTCAAAGACTCAAAGTTGGGGACTAGTTGCTGATTTACATTGGCAAACTTCCTAACACCAAGGAAATCATAGGCAGATCCAGATGGCCACCATGGCCACCAGGCCCCCACCTCCCGCAAGATGTGAACATTACAACACACTGACTGGCAGCTCCAAAGTACATAAATTTCCACGACAACAACAAAAGGAATGTCACTGTAATCTCAGCTTGACTTCCTAAGTTATGAAGCTGTTAAAACCTTCACTCAAACTGACCTGGTTTGAGCAGGCACTTCAATAGTGATTTAGTCTGGTCTTTGGCCTCTCTCTTCCTACTGAGGATCAGACACAAGAATGTTCTACATTCTTCTCAGCTTTTAAGACCAATCATGGCTATTCTTCCATTTACATTCAATTGGCTGAGATTAAATTTGAAGTTGGAAACAGCATGGTAAAGGCAAGTGGAGTTATCAGAAAGTGAGCCTTTGCAAAACACCACAGTCTCAAAGGCTTCCATGCAGGTGCTAAGCACTGCCAAATGAGTTCCAGATAGAAGGCTTTTTTGCAAAAAGCCAGACAACAGAGTGGGTATTTATCCACCAAGCCTCTTCTGTAGGTTCTGGCCTAGTGCCACTTACCTGACAGAAGAGAGACCTCAAAAAAGCCCAATTCCAAGGCCATATGGCCTTGAGTCCCTAAGTAGCAAGGGGTACTTAAATGATGACTTACCCAGGACAGTCCCTCTGCAGGGAATGGGAAGGATGCTCAAAGGATGCATCAAAGGATGAGCAAAAGACTTTTTGTTTTCCTCAGCATGGGGGACTCCCTGTGTGGAAATTCCCTCTGCCAATTCAGTTTCCAAACTGTCTGTGAATTAATACGTATGTCCCAAAGAGTTGCCCAAGGCACACAGAGATCAAGTCATTTGCCCAGGATCATATAGCTAACTAGTAAATATCAGAAGCATGATGAGAACCCTGGTCTTCCTCACTCCAAGCCCAGTATTCTATCCACTATGCCAAGCTGCCTCCCTCATCTCTAAAATGGAGATGACAGGAGTGTTTATAAAACTGGCAGCATATACATGCCAAGAATTAATAGGAAATATTGGAAAAGTGGCTTGGACTTTGACCTTAGTGACTGAAGAGCTTTAGGAAGAATTCGTTTTCTTAATGTTTAAAAGCATATATAAACAGTGATACATTTTTTTTTCAGTTTCCAAATTTTTCTTCTGAAAGAAAATACAAAAAACGATTCCTCCGCTTTTGGAGCTCCTCAGCTCCAAAGCAAAGCAAAAGGAAGACAACAGATGCAAAGAGGAACTCTGGATGACATTTTTAAAGGGAACTTAAGTATTTAAATATCATTCCTTTATAAAAGGCACGGCCATCTATTAACTCTTCATGTTCCCACTTGGAAGCAGAGAAGAAGAGCAATGTGGAATAAAATAATGACTTAAAAAAAAGTTTAAGAGAATAGTCCAGGCCATCTTCATAACCCACTGCACTCCCCTAGCCAAGACCACTACACCATCTACTTTTAACTAAAAGAGACCTTTGAATCTGGTTTGTGCTGAGTATGAACTAAGTAAGAAATACGGCTAAAAGGACAAAATGACTTCAGGTAAAAGCTTTTTGGGGTTGAAACAGGGAAAACCTTGAAAATTTAGGCTCTTCTATTACCTGAAGAATAAAGCATATCACTGGCAGTACTTTCTATTCCAAGTGAGCAAATTAAAGAGGGTATTATCAAAATATGGCAGAAGAACAGCCAAAATAGCTTAGAGGATCTTCTCTGGCCATAACCGGAATTGTCTTTATTCACACTGGCCTAACCCGATTGCAATGAAGAGCTGTTACAAGTCAGTGTGATCCTAGTCTTTCAATTTGCTTGTCACAGAACTTAATCATTGAAGACTAAAAAGATGCACTGTTCCTTTATGTAATAAGAACAAAAAAAGTAATTTACACCAAAGGATTGTAGGGCCAGACAGGAAACCGCTGAGGAAACATTTTATTTGTTGCAAATCTCTAAATAGCTGGAAGTCTCAGGCCCCAGTCCTGGGTCGGGATAGGCAGGCCCCCCTCCCTCCCTTGGTCCCCAGCATCCCTTCTGGTGGGTTGGGGAAAGACTTACGCAGAAATGCTCAGCGTGGACTTCATGCTGACCTTCATAGCATGCCACAACAGCCAGTTCTCCAGCAACTGTTTCAGGCTATAAAGAACACTGCACTGAAGGAGGCAAAGGAAAGAACCCATTACCCACACTGCTCTGCTCTACTGTGCCACCTTGCCTGGACAGGCCAAGCACAACCATCAAGGACTTGAACGTAAAAGGCAACCTCTCTCCTAAGGCAACACCATCCCGAGAAGACGCCATCAGCTGCTGCCCAAATACTTCTAGTGATGGAGGGAAGCTCCCAACTTCGAAGGAGAACCCTGTTCATTCAAGAGCTCTGGTTGTCAGAAATCTGTCTCTTTGTAACCCTGCCCCACTGGTCCTAGCTCTCCCTTCCACAGATTAATAATGGCCACTCCCTTTTCCCTTTGCTGCCACAAAGCTCTGAAGAGGGCATCTACTACTTCTTCCATGAGGTTCACTCTGATCTAGCCTTCTGCGCTCTCACTGTAATGATGGGCAACACCACCCCAGGGAACACTTCTTTTCTCTTCACTCGTCCCATGGGGGTAGTTTTTCTCTCCAACTTGAACAAATTGTTTCTCTGCTCCTTGACGGCAGTCTTATGCTTGTATATACATCCACAGTGCCTGGAATGGTGCTGGGCTACTCATGACCACTCGAACAGCCCTTTATGGTTTACAAGGTACCATCCCATAACCATTCCATGAAGGAGACTGTACAAGGGATTTCAAGTCAATATTCCCAGAGTACAGCCACTTGAGGATACAGTCTGCTGGGGCGAAACTCTTTCTAACTCTGTAGCCGGCCTGGTGAGAAGCCTCTGCACAGAGCTGGGCTGGCCACTGAACCGCACACATCCCCTACATCATTGGGCACCTACTCCAGGTTTGGCCACTTTAGTTGGGCCCTGCCACAGCCTGCACAACCTTGGGACCCAGGATCACCTCCACACTATAAAGAGGTTTTAGAGGATGCCAGTGGAGGCATGAAATTGTCTTCCCCATCTGACCAAGAAGGAAACTGAGGTTCTGAGGTAAAGCCATTGACCAACGGCCACATAGCTGGCATTCAAACCCAGATCCTCCAACTCCCAAGTCAGTATCCTTTGGATAGCCCTATACTGCCTTCTCATGAACCCAGAAAGCAGTCAAGGAGTCAGAATTTTAGGGTTGGAGTTCCCCATTATAATCCAAACCATAGCAATGAGAGAAAAATACCTATTCAGAAATTTCTAGATTGTTAAATAATCACTTCACTTGGAGTCCATGCTATTTTCTCACCTAGAAAATAAACCTTAGGAGTGAAGTGAAACTTGGCAACTCTTAGGTACAATTACATCCATACCGTTTCTTTTCACGTGGCTATTTTGCAAGTGCCCAGACCTTAATTTATACTCACAAAGGGTCTCTGGGAGAGGCAGCCGGCATAGAGTAACACCAGGCTTGGAGTCAGGAAAACCTTGGGTCAGATCCTGCCTCTGAAACTTACAAGCTGTGTGACCAGGGACAAATCATTTAACCGCTGGTCCTCTGACAACTCCCCGGAACCTACCTATTAAAGGCAGAGTGGGGCTGTGATCTGCTTTGGGGGAGGAGATTCCCACAATGTCAAAAACAACAACAAACCCCACCACTGGTCCTTCTCATATCCAATATCTATATACCATGGAGAAATGTCATTCCTAAGAATTGTAACCACTTTATACATTTCCTGTTGCCAAAATTTTACCATCATCATCTAAAATTTAAACTTATCATAGGGATGGACCCTACTTTTAGAATGCTATTATCACCAGGACTTTTAATGGCGAGATGACATTTCCACATAATCCACATATAAATTTCCACGGTTTTCCTGACTCCAAGCCTGGTGTTACGCTAAGCCAGCTGCCTCTCGCAGAGACCTTTTGAGAGTATAAATTAAGGTCTGGGCTCTTGCAAAATAGCCACGTGTAAAGAAACGGTATGGATGTAGTTGTACCTGAGAGTTGCCAAGTTTCACTTCACTCCTAAGTTTATTTTTTAGTTGAGAAAATAGCATGGACTCCCATGTGAAGTGGTTATTTAACAATCTAGAAATTTCTAAATAGGTATTTTTCTCTCATTGCTACGATTTGGATTATAATGGGGAAATCCAACCTTGAAATTCTGACTCCTTGGCTGCTTTCTGAGTCACGAGAAGGCAATATAGGGCTGTCCAAAGGACACTGACTTGGGAGTCGGAGGACCTGGGTTTGAATACCACTCTGACAGTCAGCTGTGACTACTGGTCAATCACTTTACCTCAGAACCTCAGTTTCCTTCTTGATCAGATGGGGAAGACAATTTTCATGACTCCACTGGAAACCTCTAAAGCTTCTTTATAGCATGGAGGTGACCCTGGGTTTTCCAAGGTTATACAACCTCTGGAGGGGGCCTACCTAATAAAAATATAATAACAGCTAGCATTTCAATGAATGCCACATTAATGCTATATCTGTATGGCTAGTACAGCATTAGGCAGGACAGGGGATACATAGATGGCATAGGTCCCTCTCAGGTACAATCAGATTATAACTGCTTTGGGAAAGCTTTCCCAGATGTTGTTTAACGATGCCTAGAAAAGTAAGAGCCAGTGAGTTGCCAATAAAGGTTGTTGGTAGGGATTTTTTTTTTGTGGGGGGTGGGGTGGGGATATGGTTGTGCAGGAGGAGTTATTTTGTAAAAGAAAAAGCCATGAGTGACATAACCTCAAAGAGACTTGGGAAAGGACAACGAGCAAAGTATTTTTTGTTTCTTTTCTGTGAATTTCTTTAGCTCTGGTACGTTCAGTGGTTTTTAATTTCAGATTACATTCTTTACTGGGTATATTGATTTCACCATTGGTCTTTGTTGCAGTGTCACATCTCCTGCTGGCCTGCTTTTGTACTTACCACAAGCATTTGGGATTAGCTGAGGAAGGTTTCCTTTCTCGCTGTGGGTCCCCAGTGCCCAGCCCAGGGCCAGCCCAGAGGAGGTGCTCAAGTATTGCTGGCTGACAGCTAGGCAGTTTTACTTGCTACACACACACACACACACACACACACACACACACATTCATGAGTAGCTAGCCTTGGTCCTTCATGTCACCACCTCAAAGACTGTCTAGTCTTGGGGCGCATGGAGTGCCAGAAATCCAAGCAACGTATGCACTCTACATGAGAATGGCTCTACAAAATTTAGCATGTGAATGTTTTCCGAAAGGTTTACTGCATGTCACTGCATAGGTCAGTGAGAAGAATATTCAGAGCTAAAGCTGTGATGTGAAAAAGTACAATCTTAAGAATGAAGCCTTAAGAGGACAAAGAATACTACAGGGAAACTGAGGCAATTAGAGAAAACACAAAGGGAGTCAGTTAAGGAATAAAGAAGAGACCATATGGATTAGACCAGAATTACAGAGAAATACAAAATTCAGATTACAAATGAGTGAATATGGAAATGTGATGAAGGTCACTGACCAGGCAACGAAAATAACAGGTATAGAATAACAGGCATATGAGTAAAGCCCAAATCCAAGTTGAAGTGACAAGTACAAACAGAATCTCATTTCCAGGGGCAGCTAGATGGCACAGTGGATAGAGCACCGGCTCTGAAGTCAGGAGGACCTGAGTTCAAATCCGGCCTCAGACCAAACACTTGACACTTACTAGCTGTGTGATCCTGGGCAAGTCACTTAACCTCAACTGCCTAATTAATAAAAAAAAAAAGAATCTCATTTCCTGTATGATACTAAGCCAGCACTTTTGTTTTCTCCTCTGTGTTTCTAATAAAAAGTGACTGCAGATAAAAGAGGAAGGAGCTGAGTAGACACACATCTGCAATGCTTTGGAAACAGGCATCATCTCTATTGCAAAGCAGCCTCAGCTTGGAACCCCATGTGACTGGCAATAACCCGACATAGAAAAGTTCCTTATTTTACCTTATGATAAATGGAGGATGTAAAGAAGAGCTGCGTCAGGGAGTCACAGAGAAGCGGCTTGATTTCTAAAGAAAAAGCATCCAAAGGGTTAGTCACCTTTCTGTAAATACCACTGGGCATTTCCTCAAAGGGGGTTCCCTGTTTTCTTGTTACATACCAGAGAAATTCCCCAGGGGAATCCAGCTGAGAAGCTGCAGGTATTCTGTTCGACAAGAGATGCCATCCCACAAAGGCAGGCTCTTATACAGGAACACCTCACTGGAAGGAAAGCCCTCCTGCATGCAACACAACCGAAGGTCAGAACCTCTTTGACCATAAAAGCTAACTAGCCAACAGTTTAAAAAGGAAAACCTGGAAAGAGCTGGAGGGAGCAAGGCAAAAGCAGGATCGGCACAGCCAGAAGCACTTTCCTTGAAGGAGACAGCTGTGCTTTATGAGAAAAAGAAAATGCCAGCTGGACTTGGCCAGGGCCAGGAAGGACGGTTTCACTCATTTGTTTAGTCATATTTGGTTAACACTACAAGTTTTACTCAGGATTTGACTCCTCTTTGTTTATGGTTAACTTTATGAGAAAACTTTTTTGGCAAAGAAATCCTGCCTTGCCTTTGTGGTGAGCTTGGCCCTATCATTACACGCCTAAAGACCAGCTTGCTCCCCTCCTACTTCGATGCCTCCTGACAGCCCACCATCATCCTCTGCACCCATGGTGTCTAACCTCTCCTGGACGGCTAGGACCAGATGGCTGCTAAGGTCCCTTGCAACTCTGACACTCTGTGATCCTCTAATAAAAGACCTCCTGTGTTCAGCTCTACTGGCCCATGGGCTTTGTTTGGAGTAGCCCCTAGGAAAGCCTAAAAAGCCATAGCACATCACATTTCCCTAATTCAAATCAACTAGAAGTGGAAGAGGCTAGTCTGGGTTACCTCCAGGGAAAAGCCTCAACTAGAGAAGATTTTCAAAATAAATGTAATTTAGTACTTTCAAGCTTCCTGTATAGTAACTTCACCAGCAAATGAAATGTTCCCAAGCATCCTCTGAGCCAAGTCAAAAGTCTCCAGCCCAACTTCTGGTGCCCCTCCACCTTGTATTTGCTTGATATTTAGATATGGCCATTGCTGCTTCCCCTTCCAAGAGAATGGAAGCTCCTTGAGGGTAGGGCACTGTGCTAAGCACTTTACAAGTATGATCTTGTTTCATCCTCACAACCACCCTGGGAGGTACATGCTTTTATGATCCCTATTTTACAGCTGAGGAAACTGAGACAGAAAGCTGTGAAGTGACTTGCCCAGGGTCACACAGCTAGTAAGTATCTCAGGCCACATTTGAATTCAGGTCTTCCTGACTTCAGGTCTAATGTACTGTGGCATGCCCAGCTGCCCAGGGATAGAGCAGGCTTGTTTCATTCTTTCTATTTGCGTCCCCAAAGCCCGAGGAAGAAAAAGATCAGGACTGTAACTAGGCTTTCCTGGATCTAGAGAACTCCCTGGTGAAGAAACTCCCTCTTGCCAGTGCAAATACCCACTTTCTCTGCAATGTCAAGCCCTACAGAATTTCCTGGAGAGTGGAGAAGTTAAGTGACTTGCCCAAGTTCACGTGGCCACTATGTGCCAGAGGCAGGCCTCAAACCTTCGTCTTTCTGGCTTCAAGGATAGGTCTCTGTGTCCTAGGGCACAATGCCACTTGGCTCACAAACATTTAAAAAAAAAACACCCCAAAAAACCACTTAAGTGTTTGCTGACTGAATGGTTGATTTTGCTTTTACAATTCCCTTATCAAACTCTTTTTGCTGTTATTTAGTTGTTTTCAGTCATGTCTAACTCTTCATGACCCCATCTGGGGTTTTCATGGCAAACATACTGGAGTGGTTTGCCATTTTCTTCTCCAGCTCATTTTACAGATGAGGAAACTGAGGCTAACAGGGTAAAGTGACTTGCCCAGGGTCACACAGCCAATAAGTGTCTGAAACAGGATTTGAACTCAGGAAAGTGAGTCTTCCCAACTCCAATCCTGGCACTCTGTTCACTACAGTGCCAGCTAGCTGCCCTACCAAATTCCTACTTCATAGTATAGTAAAAAAGGCCAACTCTTCGAAAAAATCTTCTAATTAGACCCAGTCCAGGTGCAATTACAACAAATTACATTTTTGAGGTTGAGTACATAGCTCCTTTTTTATTATTAAAAAGCTTCAGCCCTTTAAAAAAAGAAAGTACTGTGCTGATGCTAACGACATATATGATTCCTCTACTGACAAACAAGTCTGTGTTAGTTACACAGAGAATTTTTAGTGTTTATTCCCATAGCATTGATTATTATTTTAATCCAAAGTATCTGAAAGTAGGAAATGAAAATACCCACACACATTAGACATGTGTGCATACGCACACAGCATTAGATTATTGTCTAGAATACGGTCATCTGACATAAGAAAACTCTATAGAAACAAATTACACACAAATACAACATTTACTGTGTATAAAAAGGTGACAGAGAACTCAAAGGGTGGCCCGGAAACCCAACGAACACCTAGAAAAGCTGCAGGATTCCAGAAAGAAGTCAGTTCTCACCTGTAAGAAACACTGTGCGCTGATGATAATGTCCAGAAACTTCCTGAACTCTTCTTCAGATGTGTAATTACTGACCTTGCACCAAGTACATCCTAGAGCAGGAGATCACAAATGAGGCATCTGGTTACAGAAGGAAAGCTCCCCAAAGGAAAAGCTCAACCGCAAATACTCAATGCCCCAACACGCAAAGTCTGGGGTGGCGGGAATACAGAGCATCATGGACTCCTGTCTGGCGCAGCTCAGCTGGCACCAGGCTTAGGGCTTCTCTTCAGAGCAGAAACTCCAGGGGATGGGCAAGCGCTTGTCAGCAAAGACAAGCCAGCTGGGAAGCACGTCCTGCCTAGTTCTCTCTCTTCCAGGACTCTAGAGTTTTTCTTTCTTACCTTCTTTTAACTCTTGACTCATCCAGTAAGAAAGCCGCAGCCAGACGGTCTCATCTTGGATACAGTTCAGATAGTGTAGTAACGGAGCACTCTTGAGCACTGAGCACATCTGGGATGGAAGCTGTAAGGAAAGTCCAGTGAAGTAACCAGGAAGGAGTCCCAGGGCCAAGAGGACAGCCAAAGTGCTGGGCCAGGCAGGGCCTAGTCACTCACCTCAACGTCCTGGATGTTGTCCAAGAGCTGGGAGAACGTGTGGAGCTGCTCTAAAGGAAAGGATTTCTGACCACTAAGCATCACTTCCAGGCTGGATGAGTCACCTTCCTCGTCCTGCTCTTCCTTGCTGACGTGACTGCTGGTGGGCATTGGGATAACACAGCCAGAATTCCATTTCTGAGCAGAAAGACAACAACCCATAATCCTTGTACTGAGTCTGATCAGCCCCAAACTTTAAACACAAAAACCAGGATGAAAGTGGCTCAGTTCATGGTCTCATAGGTGGCTTTGATGAAATATCAGATACACAATATTAGAAAAACCATTTAAATAAGCCTCATCATCTGAAGGGTTGGGTTAAGACTGGCTTCAAAAGAAGGCTCCATATCTCTTGGGTTATAGATGCTTACCTTTTTTTGAGGGTGGCTATAAGCTGTGCCAATAGTTAGTTTCACAGATGGTAATGGGGATTTCTGATTTCTTTCCTTCACAATACAGACGGCTGCCTGCCAAATGCTATCTGTTGTCTTAAAGTAGAACTGGTAAAGGAAGAAGTCTGTTAGGTTTGTGGCCAACAAAGCTCGGAGGCAGAGCAACACAGATCCTGCCCAAACTGAAATTTAATAATTTTGACACTTCCTAAGCTCCCAGAAATCTACCAGAAGAGCCATTTTTCGCTGCCCCTATTTTCTATAACATATGTATTTTCCTCACTAAGTAATTAAGACTCTTCTCAACTGAATCTTACAAATTGGTAAATCTCCAAACACTTTCTAAAATATCCAGAATTACAATACTATTAAAGTACATTTTGACCATTCTTGAATCCAAAGAACGCAGATCTCAACCTCAGTACAGACACAGCATTCCCTTCATCCCTTACCTTCCTTTTTGGAGGTAAAGAAATGGTAATCAAGTCGGGGCAAAAGGATCTGTACAATGACAACAAAGCCTGGAGGTAAGGCTGCATCCCCTGCAATGCAATAAGACCTTTTAGTCTGGTGCCCAGGAAGAGAGATGACACAGCCAAGCAGGTGCTAACACTGCTACCCAGCTGAAGGTGACACAAGAAAGCAAAGAATGACCAACATGACGTTTAGATAAACCCCTCCCAGCTAAGCCCAGAGCACACAACTTGTGGCACGGAGGCGACTGGTAATGGTATTTCAACTATGCCTAGTGCATAGACTTCTTTACTACATCCTTTCCTCCTTGTCTGCCTCCTTTTTCTGCCCATTCTAACTGCCTATGCTTTTGGCCCAACAATTAGGAGCCATCTTTACGACTTGCACCATCACCACCACCAGTTAGCCAGTCAATAAACATTTATTAAGTATCTACTATGTGCCAGGCACTGTGCCAAGTGCTGAGGATACAAAAAGAGGCAAAAGACAGTCCCTGCTCTCAAGGAGCTCACGGTCTAATGGGGAAGACAACCAGCAGATATATACAAAGAAGCCACTTATGGGATCAAACAGAAGGCAAGTAACAGAGGGAAGGCACTAGAATTAAGAGGGCTGGGAAAGGCTTCTCTTAGAATATGGGATTTTAGTTGGGACTTAAAGGAAGCCAAGGAAGTGAGGTAATGGACATGAGGATGGCCAGAGAAAATGCCCGGGGCTTGGAGACAGAACGTCTTGTTTGTGGAACAGTAGGGAGGTCAGTGTCACTGCATGAAAAAGTAACCTGGCAGGGAGTAAGAAGACTAAAGGCTGGTGGGAGAGGAGGGGGAGAAGGTTATGAAGGGCTTTGAAGGCCAAGCAGAGGATTCTGTATTTGATCCTGGAGGCAATAGGAAGCCATTGGAGTTTATTGAGGGAGGGGGTGTGTGTGTGTGTGTGTGTGTGTGTGTGCGTGTGATATGGCTGGACCTATACTTTAGGAAAATCACTTTGGTGGCTGAATGGAGGATGAACTGGAGTGGGGAAACACTTGAGGCAGGCAGATTAGTAATAATTAGCATAATATTGCAATGGTCCAGGAGTGAGGTGATAAGGCCTGCTCCAGGGTGGGAGCAGCCTCAGAAGAGAGAAAAGGGGCATATTCGAGAAATGCCGCAAAGGTATAATTGACAGGCTTTGACAACCAGTGAAGAGTCCGGGATGATAACAAAGATTTCAAGCCTGAGGGACTGGGAGGATGGTGGTATCCTCCACAGTAATAGGGAAGGTAAGGGGGGGGGGCATACGTTAGGGAGAAAAGATAGTGAATGTGGTTTTGGACATACTGAGTTTAAATTGTCTACTAGACATCCAGTTCAGGATGTCTGAAAGGCAGCTGGAGATGCAAGATTAGAGGTCAAGCTGGGATGTTAGGGCAGGACGGGCAGACTGGTGAATTCTCAGCATAGAGATGGTCATTAAATCCTTGGGAGCTGAGGAGATCACCAAATGAAGTAGGATAGAGGCCCAGGCAGAAGTGGACTGATAAAGTACTTACCAATTTACAAAGACCTGCCCTTCCAATAACACTGTAGATGGGCTGTGCAAGAATCTCCATGTCACAGAGGAAGGCATGGAGGCTCAGGAAGGCAGCATGATTTGCTCCAAGTGCCAGAGCTGCTAAGTAGCCAAACCTGGGCTCTGACCCAGATGTCCTGTTCCTAATTGCAGGGCTCTTTCCACCCGACCAAACTACCTTGTACCCATTTTGGTCCAGATTTGTGATTCCATCGCTGTGGGAACTCTTAGTATGGCAATGCTCTGTGCCAACATGCAGCAGCAACACGTGTGCACTAAGATTCTTTGAGACACTAAGATGGTAGGTGACATGCACAGCTCCTCAGCAGGTCTTCCTGATGCCATGGTCAGCCATCTCTCTACTACCTCCCAATGCCTCTTTGCCACAATCTCACTAGCAGCACACTCATGGTAGACACCTTATCCACTCCTGACTTAGAGGCCAAAGGAGAAACAAAAGTAGGGAGTGGTGTGGGGGAAACAGCCACCATGCCTGGCACATGGTAGTTGCTAAGTTTAGTTTGAAGCTATTACACTAAGACTTTTGGAACACCATATATTTGCTGCTGAAGTCCTCCTGGGCAGACTTGAGAATAGCTTATGCCCTCTGCCACAGTACCTTGATAATGCAAGCACTGTCATTAATAAATGCAAACGTGTATATGCAAATGGCATTGTCTCTTGGGCTAAAGCAGTTTTAATGGAGTAAGAATTTAGCAGTGCAGGGACCAGTGATACTTACTGTCTAGAGTTGGTGCCCAGGAACCTTCTGCTCACTTAATATTTTTAAAAATACGCTACCACACAATGACTAAGGTTGCCCTTGTCTTTACCTAATGTTTCACTAGTCATCCTTGAATTTACTCACCACCTTGGACTGGAATTCAAGCAATTTCCTCACACGAAAGGGTTTGACTAGAAAAAGCAAAGCAAGCAAAAGTGTCAGACATTGTGGGATGAGAATAAAATCAAAATATAAGCAAGTGTTCAACCAAATCTCTATGAGACTCAGTTCCTTCCACCTCATCCTACAAATCAGGCCATGGGTAGAGGACTATGATGGTCAGTTATGCCCCCAAGACCCTGCTCCCAGACAAAAAAGCACTGAGAAATTGCCACCAGAAGCTCTCACAATGAAGCAGGACTATTAGCACCATATAATTCTCAAAGTCTGCAGCATCAACAGCAAAGAAGTAGCGCATGGAGTAAGAAAGCTCACCATTCTCCCTCTTGGTCAGCAGATACAAGAAGTTACAGATGTAACAACTCTGTGAAGAAAGAACAAGAACAAAACGCGATGGAACGCCACAGTCACATCTTCTACCTGAGCTTTTAAATTCCCTGACGGAGGTCATTTCCACAAGGAGAAGGGAGACATGCATGGTGAGTGCAGGAAGGCAGCAGCACATCACCAACGATGATGTGCACACCCAAAGTGGAGACGGCTGGGGACCAAGTTTTCCATGGGCAGTCACAAAACAAGGATAAGGGATGGCAGCTGGCCAAGCCAAGGGCTGCATCATAACCCACTATACAATCCAACGGGCAAAAGACCTCCATCTCTGCCACATTGGTGATGACCTTATTCCACCTCAACTACAATGTTCACATGATGAGGACTCACTGGAGGCCATAAATGGGCAGCGGTGGGGGTGGGGGAGGCCAACAAATGAGCATAGCATCAACAAACAATTCAACTGTGCAGTTCAGCAACATCACTGTTACAAAGTTTATCAACCCTTTCCATCGAGTCTCCTCCTATCCTCTCAGCTCATACCTGACTGAGAAAATCTAGGCCACTCCCCAGAAGGTCCCTCTTCTTCCCATCTCACTACTACCTCCCACCTGTGCTGACCAGAGCACCCTTCCCTCCAAGGCCAAGCCCACTGCCTGGCCCCTTGGTCCCTTCCATCCTATCTTGTCCAGCAGATGGCCCCACAGTCATTGCTGCTGGCTTCCTAATCTTCCAGCTCAGCCTAGCTACTGGTTCTTGCCTGCTGCCTCCAAGCACACCAAGTCTCTGCCATCCTGCAAATCCCCTCCATAACCCCTCCCAAGCCCTGGTAGCTCCTGCCTTATGGTTCTCTTCTCTGCCAAACTCCTCTTCTTCTCACTCTCTTCTCAGTGTCTTACAGTGAGGTCACCACTCAGCTGAGACTGCTTTCTCTAAAGTTACTAACAAGCACTTAATTGCCAAACACAGTGGCCTAATCTTTTTTGATCTCCTCATAGCATTTAACACTGTTGAGCACTCTCTTCCTGGACTCTCTCTCTTCCTTGGGTTACCATGCCACTGCTCTCTCCCAATTCTCCTCCTACCTGCCAGGGCACACCACCACTAACTGTGGATGTCCCCCAAAGTACCTGCCTGGGCCCTCTTCTCTCTCTACATTCTACCATGACTTACCTCATCAGCTCATGTGGCCTCAAATCACATCTGTGCAGATGACTCCCAGACCCATACAACCCACCCTCGTCTCTCTCCTGAGCTTGGATCCCACAATGCCAACTGCATATTGGATGATGTGAACTGGCTGCCCCACAGGCATCTCAAACTCAACATGCCCAAAACGGAACCCATCTTCTCCCTAAGCCTTTTCCTATTACTGTTGAGAACACCACCATCCTTCCTCCCAGCCACCAAGGCTCTCGACCATGCTGTCGTCCTCAACCCCTCACTTGCATGATCCCATACCTCCCATCTGCTGCTGCATCTTATCATTTGCACGTCTACCACATCTCTCACATGCAACCCCTTCTTTCCTCTCACACAGCTCCCCCCACAGGTCCTGATCACCTCTCACCTGCGCTGCTGAAGTAGCCTCTCATTAGACTCCATGACTTGGCGCTATCCTCTCTCCAATCCATCCTCCCCACTGCTGACCATGTTACAATCCTCTTCAAAGAGGTTCCCTATTACATAAAGATCAGCTATAAACTCCTGTTTGGCATTTGAGATTCTTTATAACCCGGCTTCATCTTACTTTCCCAGCCTTCTTCCACACTACTTCTCCACAAGAACTCTACATTTGAGACAATGTGATCACGGACAAGTCACTTAGCATCTCTTTGTCTCAGTTACCTCAATTGTAAAATGGGGATAATAATAGCCCCTACATCATAGCACTGTTGTGAGGACCAAATGAAAGAATGTTTGTACAGCACTTAGCACAGGGCCTAGAACGTATGTAGTGGGTGATTAATAAATGCTTCCTTGCTTTCTTCCTTCACACACTATAATACTCCACCTCCTGGCATTCCCCTCATTTCCACCTTTTGGATGAAAGCTTGCCTAGTTCTGCCCTGCGGCCTTCCTCTCCAAGGCTAACCTGGATCTGTAGCTTGTCCCCTCAGTTAGAATGTAAGCTCCCTGAGGGCAGGGACTCTTTTCTTTGCATCCTCAGGACCAAGCATAGTGTCCAGCACACAGCAGATTTTGATTAAATGCTTGATCAGTAACTGAGTTAGCAAATACTTAGTTATTTCTTGAACTTGTAAATCAAGCCTGAGACTTCAGACATAATTTTAAACGGCCTGAATTTAGACATATGTTTCACTTCTGTTATCTCCTTCATAATCGTTCATTTTTAACCAGGCCAAACAAATTTTATATGAAATATAATAGTTATTTCTGTGAAAGCTTGCCGCTCCCTAAACAGCTTCTAGCCATTATATACTTCTGACATGAGTGAAAGTATGTAATTAAGCTCTCACTTAAAAATATATGTACAGGGCTTCAGGAAGAATTGCCAAACAGTATCTCAGCATCTCATCTGTGAAGGACTGAAATGCTTTTCCTAACAGGATACAAATTTAGGAACTAAATATTTGCCCAAGTGTGGAAATGTTAGCTATCACAGCTGAAACACTGAAAAGCTGGACTGCAATCCAAATTAGGTGCAACCAATTTTCCAGGGAGGAAAAAAAAAGCATTGTTTAAAAAAAAAGTGACAAAGAAAGAAAGAAAGAAAGAAAGAAAGAAAGAAAGAAAGAAAGAAAGAAAGAAAGAAAGAAAGAAAGAAAGAAAGAAAAAGAGGGGCAGCAAGGTGGCGCAGTGGATACAGCACTGGCCCTGGATTCAGGAGGACCTGAGTTCAAATCCAGCCTCAGACACATAACACTTACTAGCTTTGTGACCCTGGGCAAGTCATTTAACCCCACTGCCTAGCCAAAAAAATAAATTAAAAAAAAAAGTGGCAAACTAGCCCATGAAACTTATGACCAACTGCAAACAAGCTGAAAAGAAGCCCTTATAGTTTTCATGTCAAACAGTTCAGCCTGAATCACACCAGGAAATGAGACCACAGCATTCCTACGTATGGTACAGCAGGGCCTCTGAACTCACGATCACCATCCCTGAACAGGGGAGTTCCAGTTAGACTCAAGCACCAACCTCTAATCCAGAAACTGAGGCTGGAGATACAAGTAAACAGAAGAAATCAGCAAACACCATGAACCAATAGCTTGGACTGAGAGAAGCTCAAGAGATATGCCCACAAGAAGAGAGCAACAACTTTATAAAAACTCCAAGTAGGACTTCAGTGAAAAGAATATCCCGACCATTGCAAGAGTACCTGTAAGAAATGAAACAAGAGGGGCAGCTAGGTGGTGCAGTGGATAGAGCACCAGCCCTGGAGTCAGGAGGACCTGAGTTCAAATGCGGCCTCAGACACTTGACACGTAATAGCTGTGTGACCCTGGGCAAGTCACTTAACCCCGTTACCTAACTAAAAAAAAGAAACAAGAGATACAGCTAGGGAGGAAAAAAATGGCAAGGAGAATTATTATTTTAGAACAGAACTCCCCTGAAAAGGAAAACAGGCCATAAAGAAACAAATACATGAGGCAACAAAAAATGCTAAAATCAAAAGACTGAACAAACAAAAGAAAATGTATTTTCCACAGACCTGGAAAATAAGTCAAGAAGAGATAATCTAAGAATCATTAGACTACCTGAAAAAATCATGACCACAAACACACACACACACACACACACACACACACATGGATTCCACATTTGAAAAAATTAGAAATGAAAATGGCCTGGATCTCTTAGAACCACAAATGGAAAAGTAAAAAGAGAAAGAAACTTCAGAATGAAAACTCTCAGGAATATCAAACCATACTTAAAATGCAGGTCAAAGAACAAATGCTCTAAACAGCCAAAAAGGAAGAATTCAAGCACCAAGGAGTACCAGTCAGGGTCCCACAAGACTCGGAAGCTGCCACCATAAAAAAGAAATTTTGGAATATGATATTCCAAAAGGCAAAGGATAAAGGTTTGTAACCAAGAATAACCTATCTGGCCAAATTGAGTATAAGTCTATATAATATGGTATAATACTACAGGGGGAAAATCAATCTTTAAGATGTCCAAGAATTTGTTATGAAAAGGCCAGAACTGAGCAGATACTCTGAAATGGAAAAGAGTACAACTTATACAAGAGAAAGACAGAGAGTGAGAGCATTTATTAAGTACTTATTATATGCCAGGCTCTGTGCTAAGCGCTGGGAATACAAATATAAGCAAAACAAAAGTCCCCACCTTCAAGAAGCTTACATTTTAGTGGAGGAAGATAACACATAAAAGGTAGCTGAAAAGGAGGGAGGTAGGAAAAAAAAATTTTTGTTAATTGTAAAAGAAACTAAAATGTAATTTAATTTTAAAAAATAAGATAGGCAGAGAGCCTGGGAGTGGTTTTTGTGTTTGTTTTTTATTCTTAGAAGGAGAAACAAGAAGAATAGAGGGCTATACTGGAGAGGAAAGGAGAAGGAAACTCACTCTTCCATGATAGGGGTGCCTGAGATGAAAAGGATACAAAAACATGGAGAAAGAGGTGGGGAGAACAGGTATCCTATGAACTTCTATTTTACCTGAAACTAATTTTCCTGCCAAATCAATTAAAAATAATTTTTTTAAAGTGGTCATCACCCCACCCAAACAGCCCAAGCAATTGCAAAGCAACTGAGAAGAACCCCTTAAGGTTTTCATGTCAAGCTGTACAACCAGGAGTAAAAAACTTGTCACTCTCCTCAGATTCCTAGAAAAGTCCAACACAGTTTCATGAATACTTTTACTCATAAGAAGGACATAAAAACCCAAACATGTTTGGGCTTTAATTCTGAGTTGCATGGCCTACACAGAGAACCTGTGCTCAGGTCAAAGCAGAAGTCAGGCATGAACGGTCAGAAGGTGACACATTAACAATAAATCATAAAAGCACCAAAGAGAGAGGATTTCAGGGGGAGAGGTCCAGGCACTTCAAAC